CTTTTTCAGAACACCGGTAGACGGCAGCCATTACAGATGAACATGTGTTTGTTGTTGTTCCAGGAGCGGCTCGGTCACACACTAATGTCATTAGTTTGTTATCATTACTAAGGTGCAGGACTGATTTTTTTGGATTAAATTTTACGTATTATACTTTAATAAATATGGTAATCCATAAAATCATAAAGTTGGGGGGTAGTACTATACTCGGATAAATATTTTTACTTATGTATTTTAACTGAAATATCGGCTTCATTCACAAAATGATTGAGTCCAGAAATGAGACCACGCCATAAAAATCAGTTGAAACGAGCTCACCTCTGACACTCCTCTGTGATTCAGAGTGAGATAATAACAGATCCAAGCAGGGGACATGATGTGAAAAAAAGAAAAAAATAAGTCCTGCAACTTAGTAATGATAACAAACTAATGACATTAGTGTGTGACCGAGCTGCTCCTGTAACAACAACGAACACATGTTCATCTGTAATGGCTGCCGTCTACCGGTGTTCTGAAAAAGTTTGTATCCCTGAAAAAACATTTCTCCACCAGAGGGGGCGCTCGCGAGTAGGAAGTAATCTGCTTTTCCCCCACAAGATGGCCCAAATCTCATGTGAAGTCTCTGACTTTTGTGTTGGCTCCTCCTGGTGGACTATGTGTAAAATGCCAGAATTCATATGATGCTGCTACAGCTGAGATATATTTGTTGTCAAAATACCTTTTAGTACATATGTTGTTAAAATAAAATGATCATTTTACTGATATGTATAAAGACTGCAAAGGCTGAAAAATCTTCAAGTCTGGATGAAATTGGAGGTAGTTTGAGGATTAAATTTTTTTATGCTTTTTAAGCTAAAAAAAGGGGGGGCTCGTATTATACATGAGATCGTATTATACATGAATAAATATGGTAAATGTTTTTACTTGGTCCTCAAAAAGGTTTGAAAATTGATTTAAAAATAATCTTGTAAATTAGAGTGTAGAGTTTTGCAATGAAAGGTGTGAAATGTTTGACTAATCCAAAGTTCAGAATTAACAAAACTGTCTGTTTAAATCTTTTCATGATAGAATGATTGTGGTGTTTGGTGTGTGTGTGTGTGTGTGTGTGTGTGTGTGTGTCCCTGTCATTGCCTTGTGCTGTGTTGTGTGTGTTTGCTTCAGGTGAGGGCTGCCTCCACTGTCACCTCCTGGAGTAACCAAATTCCTACAGCCCTCCCCTCTGCCCCTCCTCCTCCTCCTCCTCCTCAGGCAGGCAGCACCTCAGAGCCTAAGGTACACCGATCCAAACTCAGCACAGCTTAGAGCTGATTTTAAAACACTGCTTTATTTATTAGATACAGACTGGACACAGCTGCTTTTATCAGCAGAGATTGGTCTGTGAGAACCTCACCCACCCTGCAGCCCCTAACACCCCACCCCTGCTGATGACGCCATGATGCGTTCACTGTCATCACTGAACTTTTTGTGTGATTACCTCATTCCTTCATCAGCAATACATTTTTTTTTATCACATGACTGTCATTCCTCATACTTATGGTATAAATGTCATGTCAAATGTATTTATATAGCACATTAAAAGCAGTTATAAAACTGCACCACAGTGCTGCACAGAGACAACAACAATAATAAAAACTAGAGTATTAAACAATACTTCAATTAAAAGGCAAAGAATAAAAATGAGTTTTAAGAAGCGATTTAAAATAATCCAGGCTGTGGGCAGATCTAACCTGGACAGGTAAGATGTTCCATTAAACAGGAGCAGCAACAGAAAAAGCTCGATCTCCTTTCCTCTTAAGTCGAGTCCGAGGAACTGTCAGTAATAACTGATTATTTGATCGCAGGGTTCTGGACACAGACTGGAAATGTAAAAGGTCCTGAAGATAAGGGAGGGCTGACCCATTTAAAGCTTTGTAAGTTAATAAAAGAATCTTAAAGTCTATTCGAAAAGGAACAGGCAGCCAATGTAAAGATGCCACTATAGGCCTTATATGGTCATGCTTCCTGGTTCCTGTAAGGAGCAGTGCTGCTGCATTCTGGATCATCTGAAGTCGCTGCATCTGTGATTTATCCATTTATATAATGAATTACAGTAATCCAAACGAGACGTAACGAAGGCATGGACAAGTCCTTCAAAGACCTTAAAACAGAAATAAGATTTAACTTTTACTAAAATCCACAAGTGATAAAAACCAGATTTAATGGCAGAACTAACTTGTTAATCTAATTTTAAAGAAGTATCAAAAGTGAAACCAAGATTTCTAGGAGAGGTCTGACAGAACCAAGCTAAAGGACCAAGAATCTGATCTAAATTTGAAGTCTGAAATTTTTGACCAGATAATATAACTTGAGTTTTACTTTGATAGAGGTGAAGAAAGCTCTGTTCAATCCAAGATTTAACTTCATCCAGTCTGTCAGTAGCTGAAGACATTCATTCGTACCATTTTGTAGCTAAAGGGGCGTATAAATCTGTATGTCATCCGCAAAGCAGTGAAAGGAAATATTAAATTTATGAAAAGTCTGACCAAGAGGTAATAAATATAAGATAAATAAAATAGGACCTAAGATTGAGCCTTGGGGAACGCCGTGCTTTAAAGGTTTAGCCCTAGAACAGCATTGGTCCAGATGAACAAAGTTCTGTTGAAAGGCCAGTAGTTCTGAGCTACAAAATAAAAGCACACAGTTGAATAATTTGTGTAGAAGTTGTTTAACAATCTGTCTGAAAAACATGAGATGTTGTGTGAAACATAAATGAAAGCAACAATTTGTAATGTGTTATTGCCATTAAATTCAAAGTAAAAGTGTACAGTTTCTTACTTTTAACATTTAATACGTCTACTTTCAGTGTGAATACATTTCTGTCTGGATAACATTTGTAAATCCTTACATTCTGATTTTATTAACAGTTTTTTCAGAACTGGTGTTGTAACATTTAATCTTACTTCATTTATCTGCTCCAAGCTTTTTTCTTACAACATAAATGTATCTCAGGATGTAGTATTTTGTCTTTTATTTACTTGTATAAGTTTTTTCCAGGTGGAGGCTCCAAACCTGATGTATCCTGTGCCAGCATCCAGCTCAGCAGCTGCTGCTCACAGCTCCACTCCTGCATACATGTTGTCCCATCAGTATCAGCGTGAGTGTTTCACTGAGGAAAACTCTTCTACCTGTCAGCAGGTGGCAGCAGAGTTCAGCCATAAACAAGACATGACATGAACGAGTCAACGACATCACAAAGCAGAGAGGAAAGGTTTTACATCTGCTCATAGAAAACATTCAGCTGGCTCTAACGTAAAAACTCAATTTAACTTAAAAACAGGTTTTTCATTTCACCCCAGTGGCTGATATTTTGATAGTTTTTAATATTAATGTCTTTGTGTAATTTGTTCCAGGTGTACATTGGAAGTACACATGTACACATTAGTTGGATGAAGCTGCCATTTTTCAGACAATCAAGCATACTGGTGGTCAATCTAATTTCCCCCAGCAGTATGTGAGAGGGCCCGGAGAAGAAAAGATAGTAAAAGTCAGAGGTACAAACAGCTGGAGGAGCATTCTGCAGCTGATTAATTTAACTAGCAACAGAGCAATAAGACTGAATATAAAATCATTTTAGTGAGGCTGAGTCTGTCAGAGCTTCATCAGTCTGTGACAAACTGAACAATTTCACAATAATGTTCCTGAATGAAAACTGGGACAACAAACCTCAGGTTCCCCTCAGTTAACAGATCAGCTGTAGAAATAAGTTTCAATAATCACTGTTTCCATCAAGGTTTTTAAAGCACATTTTGAAGTATCACATCAGAAAAGGTGAATGGAAACGGCTTGATTCAAAAAAAATTTCCTCTGATTCACATCAAAGTTGATACGCTCACTGCAGGTGGTTTTTGGTTTTTCTAAAAGAGTTAATGTCCAAAAAGAGATAGAAACACATTTTTTAGAATCAGGTCTGACGTAGCGAACATTTTCCTCACATGTTGATCAGCTGTTCTCGCTGTCTGTCTGAAACCGGTCCTGGTACCAGAGCGAGTGCAGCTGGACCCTCCCCCTGCTGTTGGTGCATTCTCAGTCCTGTAACCTGGAGAGAGTCACATTTCTTCCTCTACGTCTCCAGACAGCAGTAAAATCACCAAAACTAGTTGATAACAGAATCATTACAACTTTCCTGATAGTAGAAACACGTTCCTGATAACTTCTGTCCATGGTCCTGAGACGTGACTTTTACTTCCTGTTTATTAAACACGTGTATCTGACGTAACTGATTCACTTCAAGCCATTTGATGGAAATACGTCTGATTCGCATTTCTTCCTTTTTACATTTTTGCAAAATTTTAAAAATTCGCTCAAAATTCAAATTAAAATTGGATGGAAACACGGCTAATTTCGAAAAAAATTACATTTTTCGACAAAATGTTTTTGCACTAGGATGAGGTGGTTTTTCAGTCGTATCTAAATTGGTGTTTTTCACAAAACTGCAATGGAAACACTTTTTTCACATCACAGGAGTCACGTGATCAACAACCGTCTGTTTCTACTGGTGAAAAACACTAAGGATGTCCCGATACCACTTTTTCACTTCCGATACGATAC